CACATCCTAGAACCCTCAAAAGCACATCCTAGAACCTCAAAACCACATCCTAGAACCCTCAAAAGCACGTCCAAGAACCTCAAAAGCACATCCTAGAATCCTTGAAAGCACATCCAAGAACCTCGAAAGCACAGCCTAGAACCCTCGAAAGCACGCATTCAATACACACACAAGAACCGTCGTTCACGAATACGTTACCTGTCCTCAAGGCTGTTTCTCCTGCTTGGCAGATGAAACACCTCTAAATGCAAGTTCTATATTTTTCCATACCCATATAACTCATCTTGTGCTGTAGGTGCAACATACATACAAAACCGTGAGTTACTTATTGTAAGGATGTCACCTGAATTAAAGCACACACACACACACACACACACACACACACACACAGCATTTGAAAGTGGTGTCTCGTCCAGAGCTACAATGACAGCAAGCAGCCAGACACACAAAGCCACGCACGTTTCGCTTGGGCATATTTATCCTGCCCGCGTTGGGGACTCGGGCCTGATCTCCATCTGCCACGAGCACCCGGCAGACCCAACAACAGACCCCCGCCCAGCAGGGCTGGTGCAAAGGCTCGCATTTCCATCTGCCGCGTGGGCACCAGTGTCAACAATGGGCAGAGAGCCCAAGGCCCGCCTCAGTGACAAGGCAGCGTCCCATCCCAACCAAGGCAGCGAAAGGCAGGGACACAGGCTGTGGCAGAGTCTGTATGTTTTGTGTTCTCCCTCATCGGGCGTTGGGACGACACCCATTTACTGTGATGGATCCAGATCACTCCATTCAACATCCCGATAACACACTTCAACCTCATGGGCAATTTTGTATAGATTTAATGTGTTTAAAACCAAAGAGAGTAAAAGATCTGTGCTTGCCAGGGATCCTGGGGACTGAAGGACGAATTAAAAAAAAAAATACAGAGCAGGTGTTACCTGGTTGGCTCAGTCCGCGAAGCGTCAGACTCCTGCTTTCCACTCAGGTCATGATCTCACGGTTCATGAGTTTGAGCCCCATGTCAGGCTCTGCACTAAAGAGCCTGCCTGGGGTTCTCTCTCGGTGTCACTTTCCCCCATCGTGCGCTCTCTCTCTGTCAAAAATAAACATTAAAAAATAATTTTAATAAATGGAGCACAGGAGAATGTTAGCACATTGGAACTATTCTGTACGTACAATCATGGCGGACAGATATCAGCATCCATTGTTTGGAGCCCATAGGGTATAGAAGACACACGCGAGGGACCCTAGTTAATAATAGTGTAGCAATTGCACCACATGCACCACACCGATGCAGATGTTAGAAACAGATAAAATTGGGCGTGTTTAGGAAGAAGCAGGGCATATGTAAACTCTCCATACTTTCTGCTCAGTGTTTCTATAAATCCGAGCTCTGTCAACAAATAATACCTATTATTTTAAAAGTCGAATAAAGCTTTAAAGTAAAAATAAGCAAGTCATCCTCTCAATCTCTTTATTTGCTCTCACAAAGCTTTGATGTTGAAAGGAACATATTGGATCAACACAAGAGAGAAGAAATTGGAACTCTGGGTGATGATGGACGTTCTCCACATTAACCGTGGTGATCCTTTCTCAAAATACACAAATATTGAGGGGCGCCTGGGTGGCTCAGTCGGTTGAGCATCCGACTTCAGCTCAGGTCCTGATCTCACAGTTCTCGGGTTCAAGCCTCGCGTCGGGCTCTGTGCTGACAGCTCAGAGCCTGGAACCTGCTTCGGATTCTGTGTCTCCCTCTGTCTCTGCCCCTCCCCTGCTCACACTCTGTCTCGCCCTGTCTCTCAAAATTGAAAAAACGTTAAAAATTTTTTTTAAGTATATAAATATTGAATCATCATGTTATACAAACGTAACTCATACAGGGTTATAGGTCTATTACAGCTTGATAAAGGGGCATCTCTTAGTTAGCAAATACATGAATTCTCTGCAAATGCTGCTATTTCTAAATACTATCCAGTGATTTTTTACATTCAATTCTCCATGAACTTTAAAAGAAAATGTGCTCAGCACACAACATCCTTAAATTTCCTAAATGGTGTTCCTCGTACTTAAAAAAAAAAAAAAGATCTATGTTTTAAATTATCTTTTTCTATCCAGGAATGACAAAATGCTTAAAAAAGGAAAAACCTAAAGGATAGTGATCTAAAATGATTACGCCCCCCCCCCAACCAGTCTCCTTTATTTCCACACATAAGTAGAATGTGGGTTTCAGGGACCTTGAAGGGGCTCAGATATAAGTACAGATTAATGAGGAATAACGTTTGTAGTTCTGTAATGCAAAGTAATTTACCTACGCAGGTGTTAATGTTTCTTAAGAAACAGGAAGGTTCCAAGCAGCTCACAGTTGATCTGATCATATTTGGTATAATTAAAAAAATTGTTTTTAATGTTTATTTATCTTTGAGAGAGACGGAGTGCAAGCAGGGGAGGGGCAGAGAGAGAAAGGGAGACACAGAATCCGGGGCAGGCTCCAGGCTCCCAGTTGTCAGCACACAGCCCGACGACGCGGGGCTCGAATTCACGAACTGGGAGATCATGACCTGAGCCGGATGCTTAACCAACTGAGCCCCCCAGGAGCTGCGATCCTCACTTCTACATAACAAACAAACAAACAAACAAAAACAGACCACATTGCAGGAAGTTAGCAAGGCAAGGCGTAGAAAGAGAGGCAGAGTCATGCCTGCAGTAAATGACTGGCCCCAGGGAACTCAGGGTCAGGGTTGCACAGGCTTGTTCCAAAGTTGCTATCGGACGCGGATCTGTCTCTTAGGGCCACACGCCCCACACAGGCTCAGCTACAACCTTCATTGCATTGAAGAAAGCAATGTTTGTATCCAACAGTGGCACAGGTCACGTCTTCAGGAGAAAGAACCCAGAGGAAACACTGCGGGGGGTCCCCGTGGGCTGGACTCCTATGTTACACGTGACTTCTTATCATGCCGCAAACCCCTTCTGAGCTCACAGGAACATCAGAACTCATCCACCCCAACTCACAAGTACATGAGGTTTTTTAAACACAGCCTCCCGGGACCCTCCAACCTCCTGCTGTATCTGGCTTTGTGCTTTTTTTTTTTTTTTTTTAA